CACTTCGCTGAGCACAGAGACGGCCTCGCTCAGTGGCACTTTGCGGTCCGGGTCTCCTTAGGTGACCGATTGCCCCAGGTCCGGCAAACCGGGCTCTGTGGCCAGTTGTATCTCACGGAAGTAAGCGCGATAAAGAAGCAGCCTGCGCAGTGGTGCGTGGCTGGGTTAGTGGAAACCTTTGCCAAAGGACGACACACACTCCACGCCCTTGTTTGGTCCCTGGCTGCTGTAGTAACATCAAGCCTCAAGCCCCCTTGCAAGAAAGTGTTCACGAGCGCTGATCTTGTCTTGAACAACGCAACGGTGGGGGAAGTGTGGGGATTTCTGGGCATCCGCCATCATCTCTCTGGAAGGCCCCATTTCAAGGATCTCTGTGACAAGCTGAGCATTGGGATGTCTGATGCCTCCCTTCTGACCTTGCGCCACAAGACCTATAACTCATTAGGTCTCTGCAGAGGCCTTCTTGCAGATGTTCTTTACTTCTTTGCCGACGACGTCTCTGGTGTGATCTATTCATACGACCTTCGCGATCATGTAACCTCTTTCTAGGAGGCCTCTCCAGGTCCGAAAGAAAATCCAGCAAGAGGATCCCTGCAAGGCACAGCATCTGCAAGGCTACAGTAACGCATGTTTTCTACTTATCTCTAACATCGACTCCTTACTAACTAGTCCTTCCGATCCACGAAGTGCCATAGTTGTTGCTCGTGCCAAGGAATCTCAATCTCGAGATCTCAAACTGCTGCTGGCCATGAGACGGCGCCTCACTTGCGCACACCAGCAGCATGTTTTTTGAAAAAGTCATTCACCTGCACACACAGGATGAACTCACACGTGCACACATCGGTTTAAACAAATACAGAACTGTGCCTGGTACCACATACTCACCTGCGCGCACAGATCAGCGCCCCTGCGCACACACACAAACTGAGGCGATGCGATATTTCTTGTTGAGGTGGGCGGGGTGGGGTGGGGGGTGGGGCGTTAATAACATCTTTGTGGACATTCTTCCACATGGTGATCTCTTCTTGCTATTTGCTTCATTCATTCGTTCCTTCCTTTCCTTTCCTTTCCTTTCCTTTCCTTTCCTTTCCTTTCCTTTCCTTTCCTTTCCTTTCCTTTCCTTTCCTTTCCTTTCCTTTCCTTTCCTTCCTTTCGGGCCCCCACAACCGAGCAATTCGCGCGCACAGGCGAGCAAATGTGCACAGCACTGGAGCAAGAACGCACAACGCACCTCCAAAGCAGAGGTCTTTCATCCGAGCATTTTCGTGCGACCTTGCGCAGCGTCCTTGCAATTCCACAATTCTAGATGAAACTTTTGCGCGAGCTGGCACGCGCAAAAACCGTCGCGCATCCACACGCGATCCTCAAGCTAGAACCCACCATAAAAAGGACCCTCTATTGTGGACACTGTTTGGGTAAACAATTAACTGGCTCCAGAAACTCTGCTTATATAGGCAAAGGCGAGCGACAGCAACGATCAAATTCAATACGCCAAAAACCAGTGTAAAAAGGGAGCCGCAAAATATAATTGATGTTAGCGGATATTCCTGTATGACAGGAACTGCGATTTGGCCCCAGCTGTCTCCGGCAATGACCGTCTTGAACAGTAGCAAATTGGCGTCCATCACCTGAGCATGGTCGAGTCATGGCGCTGTCGCGTCATATTTGAACTAGTAGCTTCTTGTTACTAGTAGTACGGCCAGGAGCCCCTAGTAGCGTCCTTGCTCCTAGTAGCGATGCCAGGAGCCCCCCAGTAGCTTCTTGTTACTAGTAGTACGGCCAGTAGCTTCCTGTTAGTAGTAGTACGGCCAGGAACCCCTAGTAGCGTCCTTGCTCCTAGTAGCGACGCCAGGAGCCCCTAGTAGCTTCGTGTTACTGCCAGGAGCCCCTACTAGCGTCCTTGCTCCTAGTAGCGATGCCAGGAGCCCTAGTAGCTTTTTGTTACCAGTAGCACGGCCAGGAGCCCCTAGTAGCGTCCTTGCTCCTAGTAGCGTAGCTTCTTGTTACTAGTAGTACGGCCAAGCTCCTAGTAGCGATGCCAGGAGCCCCTAGTAGCTTCTTGGTGCTAGTAGCACAGCCAGGAGCCCCTACTAGCGTCCTTGCTCCTAGTAGCGATGTGAGGAGCCCCTAGTAGCTTCCTGTTGCTAGTAGTACGGCCAGGAGCCCCTAGTAGCGCCCTTGCTCCTAGTAGCGATGCTAGGAGCCCCTAGTAGCACAGCCAGGAGCCCTGCTAGCGTCCTTGCTCCGAGTAGCGATGCCAGGGGCCCGTAGTAGCTGCTTGTTACTAGTAGTACGGCCAGAAGCCTGTAGTAGCGTCCTTGCTCCAGGAGCCCCTAATGGGTTCTTGTTACTAGTAGTACGGCCAGGAGCCCCTAGTAGCGTCCTTGC